TGTTTTTTTTTTTTTTTTTTACTATCGATTGCTGTTTTTTGTATGATTTATTGATAAGTATGCATGTATCCGTTTGTAAGATCGCTATTGATTTATGTTATTAAAAAAAGAAAAACAATATAATCATATCATGAAAAATCGTTGTTTTTTTTTCGTCCAATTGGCATCCGCCAATGTTTATTTTCTTCTCCGAGAATATCAACTTACCTTTGATTCATCAATTTTCTTAATCCTTAAATAAAATGAGTTAAAAGTGTAGCGTATAAGGTACCAAGTACAAATATGTATTTTATTTTCGAGCTCATATGTACTTGTAAAATTAAGTATTTTTTCATTTCATTAATTATTACACTGCTGAAATTTGTATTAATGATTTTAATATTAACTATTTACACTATTTGACACCATTGATTTCCAACATCATTCAACAGCTCATTTAAATTATATTTCAAACAAATTGTGAATTATTTCTTTCCTTACGTTTAAAAAAAGTAAGTATACGTACTTTTAGTTTTGATCCTATACGTTACATTAAAAAAAAATGTTAGTATTGAAAAAAAAAATTATCGTTGCAAGTAGGGTAAAATAAATAAATAACGCTGAAAATGGAAATCCACAAATCCGCTCAGGTTTTTTTATATACATATATTATCATGTCACGTTACACAGTATTTTAAAGTTATTCACTCAATTGATTAAACAATGACATCGACATAAACATCGATAATAACAATATACTCGGCGCAGAGAGTAGTAAGTAAAATAAAAAGTTATGTTCGACTATAAATACATGACTCGCCGCTATACAATATTCATATACGTTCTTTATTCCTTCTCTCTCTCTTCCTCTAATGTACAATACGGTAAATAATCTTATCAAGTTTATAATGTTACGGAAATAGTGTACAGGTATTGAGTCTATATTTATTTATTTATTTATTTATTTATTTATAGCCATACGAATCGGAATGATACATTACTTCGAGATGATCGGTTGACTGTAATAGTAGTATAGGTAACGTTAAACTTTAATCTTAATTATCAAAACAACAACACGATAATGTGTTCTGACCTTATCATTTTGCTTTAAATTTAATTCCATGTGATACTTCACACTTATTTTTAAAAAAGCTTTTTTTTGTAATTGTGAATTTAAACGTGTAGTTATCAAATATCCTACAGTTCTTCATGGAAATTGAACGTTTACACTTTTTATCGAAACCATATATTATATTAACGTACGTAATAATTACGTAACAATTAAACAAATGTGGATTTTGAATGACAATGGGATTTACTACCAGTGTGTAAACGTAATAGGTTTTTAATTTATTTGAAGTTATTCACATTCAAAACTATTGTATGGATGCTGAATAAATTTATATACATTATTAAATTTCTTACTTATTTTATAAACAAAAAAAAATGCTGTAGTGACCTAACATAAAAAAATGACAACGTAGCACTCTTAATACGTACTTAAAACATTCTTAAATTGATAAAAAAGCTAGCTAATGTTTTACATTAACAACGACACGTATCACAAGGACTTTTTATTTTTAAAAAATTGTTTATCAAACTGCTGCAGTATTTATTAGTTAACTTCTACTTATTTAGTTTCAATTTTTAAAAGTAAAATATTTTTGTTGTTATATTAGTATAGTTAGTGTTTTAAGAAAATTTAAAAAATGTTCAAACTTGTAAAAAAATACTGGTTGAATGGTTTATAATTAATTTATCATTATGTAATACTTGCAAACAATTAGAGATATTTTTTTTTACACATAAAACTAAGTAATTATATTTTCAAATTAAATAAAAATAT